TCCTGCTCTTTCTCACTGTAATGCTGGGTAAGAGCAGTGAACGGAACCACGCTAACCACAGCGTGGACGCTAGCCAAAGCGTGGACGCTAGCCACAGCGTGGACGCTAGCCACAGCGTGGACGCTAGCCACAGCGTGGACGCTAGCCACAGCGTGGACGCTAGCCACAGCGTGGATGTAGTGTGATGTTATCCTGGCTTGACATTTTTTCAGCTAAACACATTAGATGATTACATTTTAATTCTATCTGGGAAAGCACAAAGCCAAGCAGAAGGCCGTATCCAGAGTCAGGGCGCACCGAGGACAGCACTCTGCGTGTCCTTTCACCAGACCGGATTCTATAGCTGTGTTCTGACATGCAAGAACAGTATAAGGAACAAAGTGCACTTGGGGTAAGAGGCCCACTGCCCTTTCTCCTGGAGCCCCTCTAAATCGAGAAACCTATGGAGTCTGCTTAAAGGGCAGAGGAATTCATTAGGGGAGACAAACTCCCTGTGCAGAACAGAATTGTCGCAGGCTCTGGAGTGCTGGGTCACAGTCTCCACTGTTCTGGCCATCTGAGTCAGTCCCGCATCCAAGGCCCACGAGGGAGCGAAAAGAGACTGCCTACGTGCATCTCAGGTCTGAAGGGTAGCCTCGAGGCCACGCCCCAGGGGCATGTGCTTCAAGGTCATAGGACAGCTATCCACTGCGTCTCTCCTACAGTTCCCCAAGACATTGTTCAGCATGGGTCATTCTTTTGACCATGTCCTCACAGTTGGTCACCCCCACAGCTTTTGCGCCCCTGTTGCACCATCGTGTCCTGCAGGCAGATCATCATTGTAGGTCAAGGGGTTTGAGTTGGACTGGTGTTCACCTTCCTCCTCTGGTAGCACGAAGAGTACCTTCCACTGCCATGAACACCTGTCACAAGGGGTAAAGGATCTAGTTGGTACCAGCTCAACTTCTCTGTGTTCAATGAGATGTGAAGGTGTTGTCTTCAGCAATAAGGTCTATCTCAGTTTGTGGACAGCAACCAAGAGCCTTGGCAATAGCCTGATTGTTTGGGGGTTTCCATGGGACCCTTTTGGTTAACGACTCAATTAGATAGAACCTATTTCTGGCCCTGGAGATTTCACTTGGTGGTGAAAGATGTCTAGCTGGGACATTGCTTGCCCCATTATTTGGTGACTCCATTTAGATTTTGTTTGTTGTGGGATAATCTTTTTAGTACACTGAAAGATGTGTCTCTGCCTAAGGCACCTTCTGATTGCTTTAACAAAGAGCAGAATGGCCAATAGCTAGGCAGGAGAGACTAGGCAGGGTTTCCAGGGAGAGAGAGGAACTCGGGAAGAATTCAGGCTTGCCAAGAGACACCAGCAAGACACTGAGGAAGTCAGACCTACGATACAGAGGAGGGAGAGGAAACCGAGCCACGTGACAGAACATAGATTAATAGAAACAGGTTCAGTTAAGTTATAAGAGCTAGTTGGGAACAAGCCTAAGCTAGGGTCAAGCTTTCATAATTAATAATAAGTCTCTGTGTCTTTTTTTGAGAGCTGGAGGCCCAAAGGGAAGTCTGACTACATTTGTTCATATGTGTATATATTTTCAGAAGCTTCTACAGTAGTAGGTTTCTCTCACAAATGGCCCTTAGTGTACGTTTTTCCTTCCTGTGTTCACTCCCTTAGCTTCCTCTTCCCTCCCAATTTAATCTTGCTGCCCCAGTCTCACGCCTGTCTCTCCATAACTATATGTTCTATTTCACTCTCCTGGGGAGATCCCCACTGTAGTCCTTTACTCTGTACATAACCTCTGTGGTTATATGGATTCTAGCATGCCTATCAAAGGCTTAACAGCTAGCATCCACATATAAGAAAACACACAATATTTGTCTTTTGGGTCTAGGTTACCTCACTTACAATGTTTTCTAGCTCCATCTATTAGCCTGAAAAATCTTGATTTAAAAAAAAAAACATCTAAATAATAAACCATTATGTAATTGTACCACATTTTCTTTATCCATTAATCTGTTAATGGACATCTAGGTTGTTTCCAATATCTGGCTATTACGAATTGAGCAGCAATGAACATGAATGAGCAATTGTCTCTGCATTAGTATGTAGAGTCCTTTGGGTGTATGCTCAAGAGTGGTGTAGCTGGATCTTGTGGTAGATTGATTCCCAGCTTCCCGAGGAACTGCCACACTGATTTCCACAGTGGATGTACAAGTTTATAGTTCCACCAGCAATGGATGAGTGTTCCCCTTACTCCACATCCTCACCAGCATGAGTTGTTTTATTGATCTTGGCCATTCCAACTAGTATAAGATGAAATTTCAAAGTACTTTAAATCACATTCCCATGATGACTAAGGATGTTGAACATTTCTTTAAGTGTTTCTCAGCCATTTGTGTTTCATATTTTTTTGTGTGTGGTTTTTTGAGACAGGGTTTCTCTGTGTAGCTTTGGAACCTATCCTGGAACTCGCTTTGTAGACAAGGCTGGCCTCGAACTCACAGAGATCCGCCTGCCTCTGTGTTTCATCTTTTGAGAATTCTCTGTTTAGATCTATACACCATTTTTTAAATTGGGTTGTTTGTTTTCTTGCTGTCCAGTTTTTTCAGTTCTCTACATAATTTAGATATTAGTCCTCTATAAGATGTTTGGCTCCTGAATCGTGGAATTGCTTTGAGTTTCTCTCTGTTTAGGTTGGTGTTTGCGTGGGCTTTCTGTAAATTGCCTTTAGTATGTTGAGGTATGTCTCTCCAGGACTTGTTACCCTGAAGGGATGTTGGATTTTGTCAACAGCCTTTTCTGCATCTAATTAGATGATTTGTAGTTTTGTCTTTAAGTTTGTTTATGTGGTGGATTATATTTACCGATTTACGTATGTTGAACCACCCCTGTATCTGTGGGATGAAGCCTACTTGATCATGGTGGATGTTATTGGATTTTGTTTGCAAGCGTTTTGTTTCTTTGTTTTGATTTTTGAGACAGGGTCCTGGCTGTCCTAGAACTTGCTCTGTAGGCCAGTCTGGCCTTGAACTCAGAGATCTGCCTCTGCCTCCCGAGTGCTGGGATTAAAGGCAAATACCACCACCACCAGTGGTTTGCAAGTATTTTATTTAAAAAAAAATTGCATGTATGCTCATAAGGGAAACTGGTTTGTAATATTTTTTTATTTTTTATTTTTGATTTTTCGAGACAGAGTTTCTCTGTGTAGCTTTGGTGCCTTTCCTGGAACTTACTCTGTGGTCCAGGCTGGCTTTGAACTCACAGAGATCTACCTGCCTCTGCCTCTCGAGTGCTGGGAGTAAAGGCATGCGCCACCACTGGTAGGCCCTTAATTTTTTTGGGGGGAGGGTTCTCGATAGGTGCCCTTAATTTTTAATTATTTATGTGTGGTGGGTGTGGGTACATATGAGTGCAGTGCCCAAGGAGGCCATAAGGGGGCATCAGACTCTTTGGCTCTGGAGATAGTTGTGTCATCTGATGAAGAACAACACGTGCTCTTAACCCCTAAGACATCTCTCAGTGAACCCCATGTTGTTTATGTTTAAGATGGGTTCTCACTGTGTACCTAGGCTGGTCTCTAAATCCTTAGCTGAAGCAATCCTCCTGTCTTAGACTCTTTGGTAACTGGGATTTCAGATGGGTACCACTCTACTTGACTGGAAGAAAATTCTCTCTCTCTCTCTCTCTCTCTCTCTCTCTCTCTCTCTCTCTCCCTCCCTCCCTCCCCCATCTTTCTCTTTCTCTCTTTCTTTCTTCAGTCAGTCACTCTGTCTGTCTGTCTTTATTATGTATGTGCACATGGGCACAGTGCATGTTGTAGGGAAGGGGCAGAAGTCATGGTGTACATGTGGAGGTCAAAGGACAACTTTTTGGAATCCATTCTCTCCTTCCACCTTAACGTAATGGGGTCTGAGAACAGAACTCCAACTCCAGGCTTGTGCAGGAATCATCTCTACCTGCTGCTCCATCTCCACAGGTGTGGAAGGAAACTTGTGATTTCAGTGTAATGCAGCTCATGTATTCCCTGGTTTGAGCCACTGAGAATGTTCCCGGCTAGTGGGGGCTGAGGGACGGGCAGCAGAGCGCGTGCCCTGTCGGCACAAGGTCTTCGGTTTGATCCCTAGAACCCACATGAAAGCCCCCAGGCTTGTGAGCAGTGGTGGCGCACACCCTTAATCCCAGCACTTGGGAGGCAGAGCCAGGTGGATCTCTGTGAGTTCAAGGCCAGCCTGGTCTCCAGAGCGAGATCCAGGACAGGCACCAAAAGGAAAAAAAAAAACAAACAAAAAACAAAAAACAACCCAGGCTTGGTAGTGAAAGCTTGAAATCCCTGATAGTGAAAGCTTTGAAATCCCAGCACTGGGGAGGCAGAGACAGGCAGAGCTCCAGAGAACACCGCTGGACTGCTATACACCTTTCCCAGACCCTGTGACCTACCAATCAGTTAATTTGTGAGTTATGCCATTAAATAAATATTCATGTTGGGCGCCAGATATTGGTGAAATTATTTTGGCCACTCCACGTAGTTAAAAGGATATTTATTTAATGGCGGTGTTCTCTGGAGCTCTGCTCAGTCCAGCTCCACCGTTCAGCGTCCCCCCACAGAGAGCACACAGAGAGAGTGCTGGCCCATCCAGCTCTCAGGTCTCCAGGCGCCTTCCCTGGCCCTGCCTCGTAGGCGTGACAGTTGCCAGAGTCTCAATGGGGGTTGGAACTTCCAGATCCAAGCTGGAATGGCTACCCACTACAAGACCCAGCTGCCAAACTGGGCTGAGGGCACAGTAAAGGCTGTCATCATGCTAGAAACCCAGTAGACGGCATCCGGTATCGGGCCTCAGTCTGTGCCAGGCTCCATGCTGGCCGCTTCTCACGAATCTTCCCACAGAAGAATCCCAGACTCCTTAGGGTATGACCTGCCTCCCTTGAATTACACAGAGAGGGACTCGGAGACTCAGAGTGAGTAAGACACACGAGCGTGGCCTCACTTCAGTCCCTGCACCAACAGGGGCCGCTGAGGAGTGAGATGGACCCAAACTAAGACACGAGGATGGTCCAAGAAGGGACGATGCCGAGGGATGCTGCAGTGCGGGGGTGAGCCCACGCCCACCAGTGCTGACAGCAGAACCCGAACTAAGGCCTGCTCAGTGTATTCTCTTCCGTTGAGCTGCACTCCCACCTAACTACGGTTTCCGTGCGCATCACAGCTAGCTAGCGTTTGCTTGTGACTGCTGGTTTTAGGAAGCCCTGGGAAAACCCGGCAACAGTGGAGTCCACACTGTCTTCTGCAGAACCACGGGAAGTGCAGGTAAAAATGTTAGTAGAGTGGCAGGCGTGGCTTAGTGGTACAGCACTTGCCTAACATGCGTCAGTCACCTAGGCTTGATCCCTGGTCACACAAAGACACACACACACACACACACACACACACACACACGACAAACAAAAACACCCCACAAACAAAGAGAATATATATTTCAGTGGTTAAAAACAAAACAAATCTCATCTACTCGGGAGATTGAGGCAGGAGGATAGTAAGTTAAAGGTCTCTTTGGACTACGGAGTGAGTTCAAAACCAGCTTGGGCTATTCAGTACGATCCTGTCTCAAAATAAAATGGAGAGACGATTCAGTGGTTTAGAGCACTTGCTGCAGGTGTGTGTGGTGTGCACACCTTTGATTCCAGCTCTTGGGAAGCAGAGGAAGGCAAATCTCTATGAATTCGAGGCCAGCCTGGTCTACAGAGACTCCCATACACACATCTTCATCTCAACTTCATGTCTCTTCCTCTTCCTCCTGCTTCTTCTCAACCCACTGAGTACAGTTGCCGCTTTCAATATGTGCATGGATGTGGGGTCATCGGTATCCTACCATGGGCCACATCCCTGAAGAAAACTGACTCCAAACTGCCGGGCCAAGCTGAACGGTGCTGTCTCCACAAAGGAAAGGTATGGCCAAACCCCGGGCCTGTGGATAAGGGCTGCGGCTTATAACCCACCAAAACCTCTTCAATAGGGTTGGGACCTGGGAAGCCCTCCTCTATTCACTCCCAACTATTCAACAAGACTTCACATATCCTTTCTTAATCCTTGATTACCCCCTGGTGCCCCTCGATTCCTGCTGTGCCTGGGCCGGCACAGCCTCAGTGCTTTCCCCGCGGCCACGAGAGGGCGCAAGGGAGCACCTGCTTCTCGCCCGTACTCCACCCAGGTCCTCCCGAGCTCACACCGGCCCAGAGCCGGTCTCTGCCCGCCACCCTCCGCGCCCGTGTGTCCCCGATGTGGTCGCGATCTTCCCCAAGTCAGAGCACCTAGTCCTACCGCTGCGCAGCGGCAGCCGCCAGCCCGGCGGGTAGTTGTGAGTCCTGTTCTTTGTCCAGGCCTGGCCACCCACCCACCTGTCATCGACGCGGGGCAGCGTGGGCCTTGCTGCCTCTGTGCCCTTTACGGCCAGAAGCCCAAGGCTTAGAATGTCAGGGGCCATTCTTGCACCCTGAGGACTCTGTCTCTCTGCCTGAATACCTAGGCCTTTTCTCTCTCAGATCCCTCACCCCAGGGCCCGTGGATAAAGGCCTTGTCAGACAAGTGCATCATTCATGCAGTCATGGAGTTGTGAATTGGATGTGTGTGCACATGTGCGTGCAGGTCAGAGGATACTTCCAATGTCAGTCCCCATGCTCCATCTATGTTGCATTTTGATACAGGGTCTCTGGTGTGCTGGAACTTCCCAGGTGAGAGTGGCTGACCATGGAGCCCAGAAGGCCTCCTGTCTCCCAGAACCTCAAGACAAGAAATTCAGTCGGTGCTGCATGTTTTTGTTTGATTCTGGGGTGTGTGTGTGTGTGTGTGTGTGTGTGTGTGTGTGTGTGTGTGTGCATGTTCATGTGTGTGCATGTTAGCGTAGGCCAGAGGCTTCCTTGACTCTGAAGATACAGCTCAGCCCTTACTTTTATATTTTTGGGGATAGAGTCTCAACATTTACGCCAGTCTCACCTTAAACTCCCCATTCTTCTCCCTCAGCCTTTGTGCTCTACTGAATCAGGTCCAAATTTCTGCTTTAAAAATGGTTCTTTGTTGTTGTTGTTTTTAATCATGTGCATGTTTAATAAATGTGTTTGCAGGTCCTCTTGGAGGCCAGAGGTGGTGGTTGTGAGCCACCTGAGTGGGTGCTGAAAGTTGAAATGAGGTCCTCTGCAAGAGCAGTACATGCTTTTAACCAAGCCCGATCTCCAGCCCCTGAACTTCTGCTTTTCATACCTATTTTGTGAGAATTTGTTGTAACTTTGGGAGACTGAAGCCTCGGGGCTGACTGGACGATTCAGCAGGCAGAGCACCTAAGGACCTGGATCCCTGGAGCTCCATAAAGGTGGAAGGAGAAACCCCATTTCATAAAGTTGTCCTCTGACCTCCACACTGTGCCGAGAACTCCAGCACACACATCACACTAACAATAAGAAGCAACTAAACCCTTGTTTAATCCCGCAAGTCTGCATTCACGAGACACCCCAAACCACCAGGCCACTAGATGTGCCCCTCAGGACCTGTTTCCTGACGAAACTCACAAAGCCCCTAGGGTGAGAGGCTGTCCTGGGGCCGGAGCAACGGCCCACCTCACCCTGGGGACGGGGAGACAGGCCCTGGGCTGCTGTCCCTCCGCGGCACCCTCCATGACGTGGGAGGCCGAGGGACAGACGCACATGCTCTGCTCTGAGTCATGAGGTTATTTGGTCACTCAACAAACACTCAGGGGTCAGTTCTAGGCCAAGCACCAGTGAGCCCGTAAATGCGTGGTTTATTAGATGGCATGGTTAGTGACATCATAGACATGTGGTTGGTGACATCATAGACACGCGGCTGGTGACATCATAGACGCGTGGTTGGTGACGTCATAGACACGCGGTGGTGACATCAGGCATGCGGCTGATGACATCATAGACACGCGGCTGGTGACATCATAGACGCGTGGCTGGTGACATCATAGGCACACGGCTGGTGACATCAAGGGAAACCCAGTTTGCTCCAGGAGGGGGAGGGCCTTTCTGGACTCTCCTGAGTGCCTCTCTCTGCCCCTCGGGCCAAAGAAGCAGGTGTTTGCTAGGTGACGGTGGCGCACGCCTTTGGGAGAGCAGGTGGATCTCTGAGTTTGAGGCAAGCCTGGTCTACAGAGCGAGTTCCAGGACAGTTAGAGCTGTTATTCAGAGAAACCCTGTCTCCAAAACAAACCAAAAAAACAAAAACACAAAAACAAAAAACCCAAAACCAACCAAAAAAAAAAAAAAGAAAGAAAGAAAGAAAGAAAAAAGCAGCAGCAGCATGTATTTGGCTGAGCAACTACAGAGTGTGAGAACTCAGAGAAAGTGGACTCCAGTCCCCTGGAGCAAGCATGAGCTTGGCAGGCAGTGAACACAGGTATGGGCCTGTTTGAGATGAGTGCATGAGCTTGAAAGCCTACATTTCCCCACTGGGTGTGTGTACGTGTGTGTGTGTGTGTGTGTGTGTGTGTGTGTGTGTGTGTGTGTGCGTGTGACGGCCAGAGGTCAACCTCAGGAGTCCTTCCTCAGCAACTGTTCACCTTGGTTCTCGAGTCAAGGTCTTTCAAGGACCAGCGGCTTGCTGATCTGGCTAACCTGGCTGGCCAGTCAGCTGTAGGGAGCCTCTTGTCTCTGCCTTCCTGGTGCTGGGATTCCAAGTGTGTGCCACGATCCACAAAAGCCTACTACATTAAACATTTTTTGCTTATAATTTACATATTTAAAAATAAATTTTAACTTATTCTGTGTTTGTTTTGTTTTGTTTTGGAGACAGGGTCTCACTGTGTAGTACTGGCTGGCCGGCTAGGAACTCACTCTGTAGACCAGGCTGGCCTTGAACTCAGAGATCTTCTGCCTTGAGAGCGCTGAGATTAAGGGTGTTCAACACCATGCCTGGCTTTTTTCCCCCTCGCTTTCCTTTTTTATTTATTCTTTGTATCTTTCACATCATGCATCCCAATCCCACCCATCTCCTGTCCCCTCCCTCTGCCCTCTGCCCCCGAAACCTACCCCTGACAAAATAAAATTTAAGATAAAAAAGGGGGAAAAGGAAGACAGGGAAAATCTCATCAGGGGAGCTGCAGCGTGGCACAGTGAGTCATGCATAAAGCCCTTTATCCACACATCTTTACATGCAGGCACCCCCGAGGCCCCTGCTCTCTGCTACAGGGTAGACACTGGACCCTCACTGGGACTCTTCCTGGACATCCCCTTGCTGCCTTGTGTTGTGGAGATCCTGTAGTCCTGGGTCCACAGGACCACCCCCCCCAACACACACACACACACACACACACACACACACACACACACACACCGTGCTCCAGCGGATCACAGATGGGGTGGATGTTGGGGTGGGCCAACACATAGCCCTGGCTCTGGGCCTGGGTAGTTGCCTTGGGCATGCTTGCCACACCTGGAAGCCTGTATATTAAGAAAATAGTCTGCATTCTGCTATCATGATTTCAAGGTTCTGATGACATGTTTCAAAGACCTGAAGTTAATACTGCAATAAAAAAAACAACACCAGGCAGGGTGGCTCAGTGGGTAGAGGTACTTTGGACCAAGCCTGAAGATCTGAGACCTACATTGTGGGTAAGAGAGTACTGGCTCCCGGAAGTTGTCCTCCGACCTTCACATGCGCATTGTGCCATGCGCCCCTGGAGCCCCTGCCACAAGCCAATGAAACCTGAAACAATTCCTAACCGTCAACCCCAGCAAGCTACCTCCTCACAGGAAGTGCCCAGATCTGTCCCGCAGCCCACTAGGACTTCGTCATATGCCTGTACCCTGCAAGTCTCCCTCTGCTCTGCCCCCGCCCCCATCCTCCTGTCTCAGGGCCTTTGCACAGCTGCTCCTCTGCCTGGGTGCTCTTTTCTGTGTCCACACAGCTCCTCTGCGCTCCCCTGGTCTTTGCTTAAATGTCACCTTCTTGGCAAGGGACGCGCTGCTTTTTAAAAATGTACCCGACACCCTCCACCCACTGCTCTCTAGCAGCTCGGCGCTCGTTGATTTCTGGCATATTGGATGCTTTATTTATATGTTCTTGCTTTCATGTGCTCCCACCTGACCACCAGCCCCACAAGGATAGGGATTATTAATTTCTTTATGGTAGTGCTGGGCGTGGGGCCCAGGGTCTCACGTGTGCTGATGGAGTTTTTCTTTCCCGTCCTCTTCCCTTTCCCCTCCGTCCTTCTTTTCCTTGATGGATCTGGAGCCCAAAGCTTCCTAGGTGCTACACAGACGCTCTGCCACTGAGCCAGAGCCCAGCCCAAAGACAGACACTTAAAGTTTTTAAATGTTTATTTTTTATTTACTTATTATGCTTGTATGTGCATGCCATGGCACTCTAGTGGAGGCCAGTGGACAGCTTGAGGGTGTTGGTTCCCCTCCACCATGCGGGTTCTGGGTGTCAAACTTATGTGGACAGGTGTGGGCACGGGCACGTCTACAAAGCTGAGCTTTCTCACCAGCCCAGCTCCTGTTCCCAGCACCAAGCTCAGGGTTGGAACACGGTGGGTGCTCACCATGTGACTGTCACAGCGAGTGACAGTTAAAACAGAAAGCAGCCTTCTGCTCAGCCTGAGGAACTGTCTCCTTTCCTCTGGCTGCCATGCTGGGGATCACAGCCACGGCCTCTTGTGTGCTAAGCACATGGCTCTCATTGACCTTCAACGTGACCGAGGAGCTGGGTTGTGTTTTTTGACAGAGTAACAGGCCCCCAGACCTTAGGATAACTAACTCGGTGATGGAAGGTACCATTCAGGCCACGGAACCCAGCATGTAGACAGCACCACCTGCCAAAATTCGAACAGAGACCTAATCCATCAAAGTCCATAGTTCTGGGAAAGTCCCTAAATGGACTAACCTTGCTTTTTGGCTTCTGTAGTTTTGCTTCTGGCTAACTGTTCTTGTTAACTGAAGTGTGTCAACTTAGGGTGTGGTTTTTGTGTGCTCACCCTGAGTAAGGCTCAGGACTCCATCAGGGTCCCAAACACCCAGTGTGGTAGCTAGCCAGCCAGCCAATGAAGACTTCTGTTGCCTTGAACCTGTGTCTGAGCAGTCTTCCCTGGTGGATACCTCATAAGATGGCCTCATCATGTAGCTAAGGGTGTCCTTGAATTTGTGTCCTTTGTGCCTCAGCCTCTGAACGATGGGGATTGTTTTTCCTTTTGCATGTATGTGGTGTGTGTATTTGAATGTGTAGGTGTATGTACATGTGTGTGAGTGCAAAGGCCCCAGGTTGACATTTCTCCACCAGAGTCTTTGGCTGAACCCACAGTTCCTAGTTTTAGCCAGTGTAGGCAGCCAGTTTACCCTAGGTATCCACTAGGTTAGAGGCAGCCTGCCATTCCCCCAAACTTTTATGTGGGAGCTGGGAACCAGAAATCCAGTCCTCATACCTGGGTGCCAAGCACTTTACTGACGGAGCTAACTACCCAGTCCCAGAGTTCAACTTGTTTAATTTTTTTTTATTATTTTAATTCATATGTAAGGGTGTAAGAAATAATGGATGAATCTTCTCTATCAAAGGCTTAGGAATTAAAATCTTTATCTCTCCCACCTTGTAAACCTTTTGTGCAAATGTTTTAATCCCCCTCACCTGATAAAACCTTTGTTTATACAAAGGCCACCTGCTGCATCCCAGGAATTTGATGGCTGAAGTGACTCCTGTGTCCCCTTCCTCCTTCATTACCAGTCAGCTAAGTCTTTTCAGACTAGCCAGTAGGATAAGACTGTGAGGATGGGTCCCAACCAACGGGGAGAAGATGCAGTCACAGAGTAGAATAAAACCAAGAGCATCCTGTCTCTTCTGAGCTGACCCTCTTGGTCAAGCACTGTCCTCCTGTCCAGTTGTTGGAGTGGTGGCTTCTTTCTTTGGGTCCCTGAACCTTCTTACGCTGGCTGTTTTGCCTGTCTCTATGTCTGTGTCCCAGGTGCTCAACTGGTGCCCACTGAGGCCAGAAGAGGTCCTCAGATCCACCAGACCTGTAACTAGTTACAGCTAGTTGTGAGTTACAAGAGTGCTGAAAATCAAACCTGAACCCTCCACAAGAGCAGCCATGCTCTTAATCACTGAGCCATCTTTCCAGTGTTTCCTCGACCTTTTGGGAGAGGGTCTCACTATGTAGCCCAGGCTGGCCTCTGCCTCCAGAGTGCTGGGATCCAGTCATTTCTTCCATTTTTCAAAGACCACTGAGAGGAGCAGAGAGTGGAATCACTATGCAACAGCACACAGAAACAGTGTTGGAGCTAGGATTCAATCCCGGGGCTGCCCAGCCTTGGTTCCTATTTTCTGCTGCTTGTCCAGAGGTGGCAAGGGAGCAGGCCTACTTTAGCTGTGGCACCTGCTTCAGTAGACCTCTGAGGTCAGCAATACATCTGGGTTTGGTTCCTGGCACTTGGCAACAGCACTGATGCAGGAAGTCTGTCTTTGGGAAGGTGTATGGGTGGAGCTGACATACAATACCGCTCTGTCAGTACCTGCCTGCGGTGTGTGCCACTTACACATAGGGACATCTTCACATACCTAGAAGAGAGGCAGCTACACGATTTTATACTTTTGCAGTACAGGGAATAGAATTAAGGTCTTGTGCATGCTGGAAAAGCACCCTATTGCTAAGCTACACACAACCTTTTTTTTTTTTTTTCCCCCATGGGGGCTGGGTGTCTCACTATGTAGCTCTGGCTGTCCTGGAACTCACTATGTAGGCTGCTGGCCTCAAATTCAAGAGATCCATCTGGCTCTGCTAAGTACTAGGATCAAAGGCATGTGACACTATGCCTGGCCCCTTTTTACTTTTTAAGGATTTTAAACTATGAGTGTTGTGTGTGTGGGTCTGTGTGGGTATGCACATGTAAACACAGGCACCCTCGGAAGCCAGAGGGGGCTTTGGATCCCCTACAAGGGACCTGACATAGGTGCTGGAAACCAAACTTGGGCTTTCCACAAAATTTTTATATATATATTTTAAAGATTTATTTATGCCGGGCGGTGGTGGCGCACGCCTTTAATCCCAGCACGAGGGAGGCAGAGCCAGGCGGATCTCTGTGAGTTCGAGGTCAGCCTGGGCTACCAAGTGAGTCCCAGGAAAGGCGCAAAGCTACGCAGAGAAACCCTGCCTCGAAAAAAACCAAAAAAAAAAAAAAGATTTATTATGTATATAGTGTTCTGCTTTCATGTATCCCTGCTCACCAGAAGAGGGCACCAGATCTCATTACTGATGGTTGCTAGCCACCATGTGGTTGCTGGGAATTGAACTCAGGACATCTGGAAGAGCAGCCAGTGCTCTTAACCTCTGAGCCATCTCTCAGCCCCTGGCTTTCTACAAATTTATGATTCTTGACCACCGAGACACCTTTCCAGCCTGACTTTTATTTTTTGTTGTTGTTCGAGAAAGGGTCTTAATATGTAGCCTTGTCTGTCTTGGAGCTCACTATGTAGACCAGGCTGGCTTCAAACTCAGAGATCTGCCTCTGCCTTCTGAGTGCCAGGATTAAAGGTGTGTGCCACACCCAGTTCTTTTTACATTTTTGAGACAGGGCCTAAGTTTCCTAGGCTGGTTTTGACCTTGCAAGTAGCTTAATGTAAGACACCATGCTCAGAAAAAGGTCCTATTGGGGCTGGAGAGATGGCTCAGAGGTTAAGAGCACTGGCTGTTCTTCCAGAGGTGCTGAGTTCAATTCCCAGCACCCACATGGTGGCTCACAACCATCTGTAATGAGATCTGGTGCCCTCTTCTGGCCTG